TTAGGGAGATTTTTTTTCACACGGTGGATACGAAAGACAACCAGAAAATTATCACACAAATTACACACGAAACATTACGAGAGAGAGGTCACGAAAACATCCCAGAAAACCGAAGCAAACTCAAAGCATTTGTAAACGATTCGCATAGAAATAAAGAGGTAGTAATTCGTTTTACCTTTGTTCGTTCATCTCTTCCTTTGCATGTCATTTTGTGCTTAAGGTTTGGCTTGAAAACAGTCAAAAATGGAAGGCCGAGGACCCGGGGAGGGGCTTTTTTTTGAGAAGGTCTGGCTAGATCCACCCTCCCGAGGCCATTTCTTTAAGCCATTTTTTTTTGGGGAAAGTTTGGCTTGAGAACAGTCAAAAATGGAAGGCCGAGGACCCGGGGAGGGGCTTTTTGAGAGGATCTTGCCAGATCCACCCTCCCGAGGCCATTTTCTTTAAAAAAAAGCCATTGTTTTTCTGGAAAGCAAGACCCCCGTTCTTCGTTGGTGAAGAACATTCGAGAAAAGGGAGAACAGAAGAGATATTTCGGCGAGAGATGAGGATGAAATGAATTTCAAACGTTTGGTTGAGTTAAAAATGGGGATCTGCGTGTTTCTGTTATATTAAGGGTAAACTATGCCTTGTGACCCTCTGATTCCTAAAACTTCCATTTTACCCCCCGAATCCGATTTTTTTAGACCCATCCTCTTTTGAATTCGACCTTCAATCAGGGTTTTCTTTCAATTTAGTCATGTTGCTTCGTTTTTTTATTTTATAATAATTATTATTATTTTTAATATTATTACTTTATATATATATATACGTATTTCATATTTTATTTTTATATTAATACTTTTTGTTGTGTTTTACAATTTGCTATATATGTATATATTTTTAATTTAACTATTACTATTATCTTCTTTTTACTAATTTATATATATATATATATTTACGTTATTATTATTATGCGTATACTTTTTTTATTTGATTATTTTTGCTTAATGTTATATTTTAATATATGTATATACTGTTTTACAAATTATTATATATGTATATATTATTTTTAATTTAACTATTACTATTATCTTCTTTTACTAATATATATATATATATTTACGTTATTATTATTATATACGTATACTTTTTTTTTTCTTTGATTATTTTGCTTAATGTTATATTTTAATATATATGTATATATATATATATATGTATATACTTATAAGTTTATTTATATATCTATTATTATTATGTGTACATTTCAAACGTTTATTCGATTACCTTTTTCTTTACTTTGTTTTTATTTCTTTGATGATCATCTTTTTATTCATTGTATTTTTTATTCGTTGGTTGTATGTAGATTATTAATATTTCATTTATTTATTTTACTCTGCTTATTAACCCCTTTTTTTTCTCTATTTTTATCTTCATTCTTGTTTCCTTATTTTTCATTTTTTTGTTTTCGTTCTTTAACGTCTGTATTGTAAGGGAATTTCAATCAATCAAGGGTAAGTAGTTCAGATCGATGTTTTACCTTTTAATTTAACTTTCAATTCTCTTAATTAAAGACAACTGGAAATTACATAGTACCGAAAGGGCGGTTCAAGGGTGCTAATCCTTCCTTGGCTGTAATCAACTCCCGAGCCCGACATATTTCCGGTAAGACGCAGATCAGGTAAGAAATAGGGTATCCGATCAACCCATTTATTTTTAAATAAATGATCGGTGGCGACTCCTAATTCATTTTCCTAAGTCGAAGCCCAATTTCGGGCCCAATCGAAAGACGGTTGCGACACCCCTACTTAAAAACTTTATAAGTTTATCGCTCATAACATGAAATCAAACGTCCGTCTTTGATAATAATAACGATGTTACTTTAAATTATGTTACGTTGGTATAGATAGATATTTAAGTAATGACATATTATATATATAATACATAGATTAGTGGCCATAACAAACTTGAGTTAGGAGATTAGATGAGATAAGTTGACAAAAAGAATCAAAGTGGGGCAAGGACAACACAAACTGGTTGATGATATGAAAGTAGTTTTTGAGCTAATGCCATTAAATTAATACTGTGATCTAAACAAGGGCTATTTATTTGGACACAACCAAACATATTAATAAGGTCAAGAACAAAAAGCAACTGCCAATTTTTATATTATGAATCTTGTACACCTACCTTCCAAATCTTGATCCACTAATCATCAGTTCAACACTCCCAACAACTAAATAATCTTAGTTACTTTTTAATGCATTCCTCTAAAATTTACGTTAAAATGTCAGAATGATTATCGGTCAAAAAACAAACACGATCAAAAAGAAAAAAGAAGAACATCAGGATCTACGTGAAAAATCTAAAATAAAAAACTATGAATAGAGGAGAAAATTTTCACTATGTTGAGGAAGTACAAGATTTGTTACAACTATTGCAATTCTCTTTTAAAACCCTCTACTAAACCCTATTTTCTACTTTCTATTTGAGAAAATAGGAAACAAAGAAAACAAGGAAACTTGTATAGGAAGAATCATACTCTAACTGAATTTCCTTTTATGATCAACATAAAAGCAGTAAATGTGTTGGTATTTCAAACAGATTAAACCGCTTCGTACTGAAAGACTTGGCCCAAGAAAAAAAAATTAGATCATAACTCTAACAATTTAGATATTGATTTCTTTCCTTTTTATGTCAATATATATAGAAGAGAAATATATTTATTTTATTGTAAAATTATATCCTACAAAATATTAGATCAATTATATTTATAATTGGCGTTGTTTCAGATTAATTTTATTTTACGTTTCAATTTAGTTATTCACCGTTGGTTAATTGGTAATAGTAATACTTGATTGATATGATTATATGATAATTAGAAATAATTTTTATTAAATTAGAGAAATTTCACTAGAAAGCAAAAAATAATTATTAAATTTAGTTTTATTTTATTAAGCTAAGGTGATTATAAACTAGTATATATTCTAAATACAGTCAACCATTTGACAATAAACGCTCGATCATTCATATTGCAGTCGTCGATGCTCGAAACCCAAAAACCTTTAAAATTAACAATAATTCTTTTAACCATCGAAATAATTTAGTTCGTGCAATTACTAAATTTAGTTATAAAAAAATGAAGGACAAGTTAATAAATATAAACGCCTAGAACTAATTTAACATTGTACGTATTACAAATTAATATTGATTTAACACGGCGTCGGTTAGGGTCCGTTCGAGCCAAATCCATGGGCCATCCCTCAACCAATTCGATACAAATGTGGGGCTATTAGCTCCCCGACAATTTAATTCCCATTTTGCCGGGTGTCAATATAAAAAAGAGTTAATTGCATCATATGTCTCTAAATTATAACCCTCATTTTAAAGATTTTAATTTGAGCCTTAAACTATGACTCACATTCTAAATTAATCCTTAAACTTTTAAAAATTTTAATTTCATCCATAAACTATATCCCTTTTTCTAAATTGGTCCCAAACTTTTAAATATTCCAATTTCATCCCCAAATTCATCCATATATGTAATTGTTTCAACCATAGTTTAACGTAATTTATTCTTCAAACATATTATAATATAACTTTGCCTAACGATTTTACTAACAAGGGATGTGATTAGTATATGCGTATAGTTTGGGATGAAATTGGAATGTTCAGAAAGTTTGGAGACTAATTTAGAATGAAGGTCATAGTTTGGGGTTGAAATTGAAATGTTTAAAAGTTTGAGAACTAATTTAGAATGATAGTCATGGTTTAGGAATGAAATTGAAATATTTAAAAGTTTAGGGATCAATTTGAATGAGTGTTATACTTTGAGGACATGTGATGCAATCAACTCTATAAAAAATAACGAGTAATTTATTATTTTTGAAAGTAAATTATAAATCTTGTATAGACAAAATTATTTTTTTTTCTATTTGGCTAATGGGATATAAAAATAAAAAAAGTTTATAAATATTGTTGTTCTATTTGATCTCTTATATTGAATTTAAGTTACGCATTAAAAATTTATGTTAAAATTAATAATTTAGTAATATTATATTTAAAAATAACAACATAGATACCGTAATAATTATGTTGGTAATGCATATATATATATATATTTTAAAAAATATTTTTTGATATATAATAAAAACAAGTGAAAATAACAATATGATAGGAGTTAGTATTGGACCGCTTTAAATCGAATGAGGTTGAATTTAGTTGACTCCTACAACAACTAACAAGACATTTTTGTAGCACTAGAACTAATAATGGTTTATTCCCTAATATCCCATCCCCTAATAATAATAAGGGTAAAGCATTTAAATGGTCCCTCGATTATAGTACGTTTGTTGAGTCTCTCACTTATTAAAAGTTACAAAAATGGTCCCTCATTTATAGGATGTGGCTTTGTGGAGTCCCTTGACTATTAAAAGTTACAAAATGGTCACTCAATTATAAGATGTTACTTTGTTGAGTCCCTCGACTATTTAGTATGTTTTAAACTCGTCATTTTCTGTTAAAAATTTGGCAACAATCCGAGCTAGATATAACCTGTTAAGTGAGATATGATAGTTTTTTGAGATTTTGAGATCATATTTTATCATATCTCAATTAGCAGGTTAACATCCAGCTCAGATTACTGTCAATTTTTAACAAAATAGGACGCGTTTGGAACATACTAAATAGTCGGATGATCATTTCATAACTTTTAACACTCAGGGGACTTTTAATACTCAGGAGACTCAACAAAGCAAAACATTATTTTGTGAATTTTAATAGTTGAGGGACTCAACAAAGCATCACCCTATAGTCGAGGGATCATTTGTGAACTTTACCCTAATAATGATAATAATAATAATAATAATAATAATAATAATAATAATAATAATAAATAATAATAATAATAATATCCACAAGGTCAAAGAAATAAAACAATAAATAAGAGGAAGATTACAAAAGAATAGCACATGATAACACAAGGATAACACAAACTGATCTCCTCCTCCATTTTCTCTAAAGCTATGGGTTCCTCCTCAACTCAAATTGAGCATCACCAGAAGGCTGCAAAAGAATGCGGTGACCCCATAGTTCCGGCGACCAAATATCCTTCGTTTTCTTCCTCTTCCTCACTTTCATCGTCATCGTCTTCGCTGGCATCTTCGTATTTTCCCGATGATTCGTTTCTCAGCCCCGGGACTCCATTCCGATTTTCAGGTGTTCCATTCTCTTGGAAACATTTACCAGGGATCCCAAAGAAGCTACAGAACCACAACCAAAAGTGCAACTCCATTAAGTTGCTGCCATTGCCGCCGCCGACAATCCCACGGACTTCAAAAAACAACAGTTCCGAAGATACGTTAATGAGGAAGAAAGCATCCACTGGCGCTTCCGAGAGTTTCCGGCGGGTGGATCCATTCTTCGCGGCGTTGGTCGAGTGTTGAAAGGAAGACGGTGATCAATCAACCGGAAGAAATCTGTGGACCGGAGCTAAGGTAACGAGAAGCATGAGTGACAGGTTGGGGTTCATCAATCTGTATTCGTGTAAAAGAAGTTGTGCAGTATCGGAATCGACAGTGTATCTTCCGAGGTCACGAAGAACTGCTGGTTATGGACTAATTAATCACCGGCGATCTCGTTAAATGTAAGTTAAGTACGCCCATCAATGATCACAGCAGGGCTTTGTTCATCATGAAAATAACTTGGATTCCTTTACTTTTTTATTATTATTTTCATATGAAGAAGACAAAGGATGATGTCTTCCGGAGTAAAAGTCTTTGTAATATAATATTAATGCAAGCTGAAATTATTAGATACGAGTGTTCTACTCCTTGTATCATTTACTATTTTTTTGAATTATAATGTGGGATAAACTACAAAAGTAGTTGGTAACCTATATAGGCTTAATTATAAAATAATTGATTAAATTATATTACTTTTCATAAATAGGTGTCTACAATATTTTTCGAATGATTTCGGTGTCTAACATTACAAACTATATTATTTTAGGTGTTTGCGTTAGTTTTCTCTATTAAGTGACACGTGTCATACTCTGATAATTTTGTTTTTTTTAAATTAAAAATATTATTATATTTATAAAAAACTTCTAATTTCTCTTAAATAAAAAAAACCCAAATTCATAAAAATCCTAAATCCTAACTCTAACACGCAGTCTTTTCCAGTCACGACCACCACCGTCGACTTAAGTCATGTCATTCTCCTAATTATACGTCGTCGTAGTTGCCATCGATTGACTGTCAAAATCGCTTGGGATCGTAATTTTCATCCTATGATTCATGGGGTACTAAATGTCAATTGGCTGTTGATCAGTCGTGATTTCATAGAGGTATTGATCACCAGTGGTGGGTGAGGTCGGGAGGAACTTCGTTGACGAAAAAGGGCGGCGACCGACGTGGGTTTAGAGATTCAATGAAGGTTTTCAAACTTTTGGAAGTATTTTAAAATTGTGTGTGTGTGTTTTAAAAATATATAATTTTAATTTTTCATTTTTAAATAATTTTTTTAAAATTACCAGAATGTAACACATGTCACTTAACGGAAAAATTAACGGAGTTCATGACCTGAGCACCTAAAGTGATAATGTTTGTAATATTAAACACCGAAATCATTCAAAAAAATATTGTAGACACCTAGTAATGAAAAGCAGTATAGTGTGGTCACTTATTTTATAATTAAGCCACCTACATAACAGCATATTTAACACTATTTTTATTTTTTATTTTTAATTATCAATACATTTCAGTATCTTACTGATCTAAATAAAAATAAAGAAAATAAATTAATGTATTTGAAGTAAGAATAATCGAACTAAGAATCCTTTGAATGAGGTAGCCATTAAGCTTGTCTGGAATTTATTTTAATTCTATTAGAATTTATATTTAAATTTATCAAAAAATATTAAGAGAAAATATTTGTCGAGTTGGAAAGAAAGGGAATTCGAACGTAAGACGTCTAGGGCACTTTCTTTCGAACCTTGACTAGGTCATAAACCCAATCAAGGATCCCTGTTTGATGCATCAAATTTCTTTTGGTTTTTTTAAATCAATAGATGTTAATATATGTCATTATCTAATTGATTCGACTAAAATTAAGAGTAAATTATATATTTAATATTTAAATTATCAGTTTTGATATGTTTTAGTGTTTAAACTTTTATTTTTTTCAAAATCATACCTAAATGTTAGTTTTTCTTTCATTTTAGTACTCCACCGTTAAGTTTTGAAGAAAATGAAAGTATAGGTACCAAAACACGTTTAGTACCTAAATCATAATTAAGTTTTGAAAAAAATTAAAAATTTAAGTGCTAAAATGAAACAAAACTAATAGTGTAGGTACTAAACGCGTTAAGTTTTTAATGAAGGGGTATTAAAATGAAATAAAAAGTAAACTTTAGGTATGGTTTTGAAAAAGTTGAAAGTTTAGGTACTAAATGTATAATTTACCCTAAAATAATCATCCAACTCTTGGTTTTATGTTCTTCAGTAATGATCGCCTTGCTTGTATATGTTACAATTAATGTAGCATGAAAATCAATAATTGATTCATCATTTAACATATAAATAGATTCAAACCTCGAAACAAACGCACAAACTTCAGATTATTAAAAAAAAACCCCTCAAAATAAACACATGTTTGTTGTTTCACAGATTAATTAAAGATTTTCCAAATTCCACAGGCAATACGATTAAACTCTACACAAAGAAAAAGGGTGATTTTTCTGATATATCATCGTCTACTATTTTTTTTCTCGATCAGACATCGTTTAGACTATATTTCTCAATCCAACACCCTTTGCAGAAAGTCGCGTCCCCTGCAGCGCGTTTAATACTGATTTGGCGTCACGTAGGGTAAGACGTCCCCCATGAGATGCGCCTTATGCTGATATGGGATACACGTGTGTATAGCGCAGCCCCTGGGGCGCACCTTAGGCCACGTAGAGTATAGCGCGGGGCAGGAGTCGCGCCTTACCTGAGAACGTGTCAGTAAGGCACGCCCCCTGCAGCATGCCTTAGGTATAATTACCCACCTATCCCGACGTTTCACACCCAAATCCATCCCTATAAATACCTCCATCCTCAATCACTTTCATCACACCAAATTCTCTCTATTTCTCTCAACTTCTCTCAAATACTCTTATAATCTCTGTCTAAGGTATATTTTATTATATTTTTAATATTTTGTATTTAATTTATTTAAGTATTTAATTTCTTTAATATTTTACTTAATTAATTTTTTACAGATATAAAATAGAAGACGGTCTACTTCGCTTGGATGAAAATCATATATCTCGACACTTTGCTGATACAGTAACATTTTAACATTTTAATTTAATTAAAATTATAGTAATAATTTGTTGATTATTTAATGCATGATTATTAGATTAAGAATTAATTTTTGTAATTATTTAATTTTAGGAGAAGGATCGTGTATTAGATCTTTTATTAGAAACCTTAAGTTAGTGATACCTAGTCATGTCTTGCCGTATTTAGTAGAGGTTAGATTCGGTTACATAGGTAGATACAGGGTCACTGTAAGATAGAACTAGACCTTATTTCTGCCTTAGTAGAGCGGTGGAGGTCGGAGAACACACATTCCATCTTCCGTGCGGAGAGTGCACGATTACACTTGAGGATGTTTCTATGCACCTGGGGCTTCCGGTGGATGGAGATGTGATATCGGGGATCGCGCAGGGTTCCTGGACGCTTTGTGTCAGGAAAATCTAGGACGTGTCCCGAAAAGTTTTAACGATGATCGAATACCGTTAAATTGGTTAGATGCCAATTTTCGGGAGTTGAGCGAGGACGCGTCAGATGATGAAGTTAAAATATATGCATGGGCATGCATACTGCAGCTGATAGGAGGGTTATTGATGTCGGACAAATCGCACAACCAACTTCATTGTATGTGGTTGCGATATCTTGTCGACTTTCGTGTGGTCGGATCACTCAGTTGGGATTCGGCAGTTTTGGCTTTCCTGTACAGAGAGATGTGTCGAGCCACTGACTACAAGCGTAATGCTATCGGCGGATGTCTCATACTGATACAGTCTTGGGCATGGTATCGATTGCCCTTTTTATGTCCCGTTGTGAAGAATCCATTCGTATTTCCGCTACTATTGAGGTAATTATAAAACTGATTTCGTATATAATCATTTTATACTATGTATAATATTTTTTTTTGAATAGGTGGTCTACTGACAGGAAAAATCTCAGGAGCTACCTGATGATTTAGAAAAATTAGGGTGCTAATCGATAGAAGGCTAGCACATGTATGAATTTAATGTTTAAAATCGATTTTAGATTATAGTTATATAATTAGATTTTTATTTTGATAAATTATATATATTTGTTTTAGTTTGAATGGGTGTCATATTCTAATGATGAGGACGGTGATCCCACCTGAGTTGAGGGGCCCATCAGATGTTGATGGCGATGGTCCCTTTGATCTATTATGCGACGTCAAGTGGCACTCCATTGATCGTGTGCTCCGACAATTTGGTTATTTTCAACCAATTACGAAGTACCTCGCAATATGGACGAGTTACGTAGCACAGATAGACGCGACAAGATCGATACAGATTGGCTGGTGAGGCATCATGAGTGGGTCGTGTTGTGAGAGGATTGACATCGGCGCCTTCCTCGTAAAGAGCCCATTTATGTTGATAACTTGACGGTTGCTGATGATTATTATGAGTGGTTCAACAGAAACGGGAAACCGTTTCTGCTTCCCGAAGATGCACGAGGGCGGACCTTTCCACGACGTCGACAGAGACGTTCACCGACACAACACCATCGTCCCCCGACTCGTGGATGGAGAGCAGGTGCTTCTGGTTCATCCTCAGCTGCACCAGCAGGACCTTCACAGCAGCCACCGTCTGCAGCGACTTACATATCGTAACCATATATGATGTCGTCACCGTATTCCATTACCAATGTCGCCGCCGCCGCCGCCTTCACCTGGTTTTATGACCCGTCGCCGCCACTTTCACAGAGTTTTATGACTCCCCCTGGAGGCTATTATGGGTCTATGTTTGCAGATCGACTTGGGGTTCATATGCTAGATATTGGCGGGTTCAGCTCTCACCCATGGCTCCAACACAGACACCTCCTGTACAGTTTTCACACTCAACGATGTATGGGTTTTATGAGTTTTCCCAGTTTTCGCAGGCCAGTGGGATAGTCAGTCATACACCTCCAGGGTCCTTATTCTATGGAGGTGCTTCATCGTCATCAGCCCCTCATCAACAAAATTTAGCTGCTCAGGATGACGACGACGACGACGACAACGACGACAATGATGATGATGATAGCGATGAGTCACAACCAGTGATACGAAGAAATCCTCCTCGAGACCGACATCATAGATAGATTTTGTTTTTTTTTGTATTTAGTACTTTTTATTGTAGTTGTTTATTGAACTTTTT